CTTTTAGGATAAAGTTATCATTATTATTATGATATTGAACTGATAGTGACTTTACAGTAGAATATAGATCATAGATATTTTCAACTGTCGACCAGCAAGCAGCGACCAGCAACCAGCAACCAGCGACCAGCAATTTAACGCCTCCGTGTCTGATTGGCTGGTCCCCGCCTCTACGCGCAAGCCAGTCTATGTCTCTGCCACCACACACCGATATTTGTTAGTGAACCACCACAAAGCTTCCACTAAGCGTATTATTTGCGTATTTTTGTTATTTAGAGGGCTCTCGTATCGAAATATTCCTACTAGTGAACAAGTTTCAAAATATTTTATCAATAGCCGATAATGATTTGTCCGTAAACGCACTGTGATCAAGAGTGAAATAAACTGGCTGAACCAATAGACCATTTTCCGTACACTGCGAGAATCACGCGTTATGCGTGAAATCGAACAGGACAAACAAAGGTCATAGCGTCGTAGTGGCGTCAAACATGGCGTGGGATTCGATAAACGCGAAAATATTTTGGGGGCATTTCCATGCTTAATAATGTGCTGTATACATTTGATGATAGACAATTTCGATTAAGTGTGGGTATTCGGAATCAATATTCCTCTGTCGAAGATCGGCTTGTCAATGTGAGCTACGAAATAAAGAAATTCGAGTTGAAAATCAAATCGTTCGATTTTTGCGGCAGACGTTCGACGCGCGTCTTTCATGCATCTCGCGAGATCTCGCAGTTGAACGGAAAATCACCTATTATAAATTACAGGGATTACATATGGTGAATGATTGTACAACAAACACCCCAACCTTTTATGTAGTTTGAGCTAAAATAAAAACGACAGTCCGTCCTCGTAAGCCGGCAGTGATACATAATCCTGATGACACTGTTAAACTCCAATTAATTTTTCCTACTGAAATTCGTAATAGTGCCTCAGACATGAACTTGATCCGGTCCAAGTACTGTTGTTGAAACTCGTATTAAAAATGCTGGAGGTACTAAAAATTAATATAATTTTCTGTGTTTCGGGTCATATGTACTTGGAAGCTGTGGTATAAAGTGTGATGGCATTGCGGTGATATATGGTTTATTCAACTGTTTGTCCCGTGTGATATATCGATTCTCACATAATCTGTGCATGAAATATAACCCAGGCTGAAAGAAGTCACACTCATCCATGAAGAATTCTATATAATGTCTGAAATTTTAAATTGGCATTCCAGATAACTCTATTACAATAGTGACCATAATTTTCATTGATGTTTCAGTAATACAGGATTTTAATATTTTTAATAAAGAATATTTATAGTGCACTTATCCTAGTTCTAAGCAAATAATAAATCAGCAAATATTACCATAAATTAAAAACAAAATTAGCATAAATTACCATAGATTAAAGCACGATGGTCGTCGTGTAGCGCGTGTTCATGTAAATAAACAATGTATTTTACACGCGTTGTATAGGTCGCTATGAGTCCCATATCGAACAGGACGCGGCACGACGACTGCCGCCCTTTAACTTAGCTTTTATACTTTTAATAATCCAATTAATTTCTTATTGTACTTTGTAAATTTAATTTGATAGCACGTATTTGGATATATTAAGCATTGTTATGGCTATAACATGTCAAGTTATTTTAACGTAGTTGTGTCTTGAATGCATTCTTTGCTATCCTTATTCTGTACAGTTCAGAATGAGTTCACTCACCTCTAATTCACCTTAACTGTAATAGCGAGCTTACAACGACATGTCTGCTTGTTTTATAATAGTTGAAATGGACATTGGTTATCTAGGTTAGGGGTGGAGTATTAGAAACTCTGGGTGGGGGCCATGGCAAAACTAGAAACTCTGGGTGGGGGCCATGGCAAAACTAGAAACTCTGGGTGGGGGCCATGGCAAAACTAGAAACTCTGGGTGGGGGCCATGGCAAAACTAGAAACTCTGGGTGGGGGCCATGGCAAAACAACTGTATGAAATTTTTTCTCTAAGATATGCACGCACAATTTTTCTCTGGGCATGCAGAATTTTTTTTGAAATTCCTGCACCCCTCCCAGAGTTGCTAATAGTCAGCTTATTATACGCACTTGAATGGGAATTTGTACTTTAGTAACTGTTTTACAGAATTAATTGTTGTGATAAAATCTAATTGTCATACTCGGAGTTTAAAATTAACAAATTCTTCTTGGAGTCTG